CCGGTGGCCCTGGGAGCGGGGCGAGGGCGCCTGGCGGGGATCAGACTGCCGAAGCCTTCGCCGGTCCGAAACCCAGCGTAGCGCTGGGTCTGCCTGCCAACAGCCAGGACAGAGTGCCAGCCGCAGCGCAATCGATGGACACCTCGGCTCCGGAGCAAGCCCGCGAGCTGGTTCATCCTTCGTCCTTGCCCCACCAGAGATTGAACAGCATCATCAGTTCAGTCTTTTTCTTTAAAAGAAGCTAATATACAGAATTATAAAGCACAATATTTACAACAGTACAGTAAACAGGTTCATTTCCACACTGATCAGTAGTCTGTTTTAATGTGTATAAAAGAAATTCTTACATGACCTAAGAGGAACCGACAAGAAGTGACACAGCATGGGGAGAGAGTCGTCAATACCCTCCACTTAAACATGTTAAATAATAAATAATCCTTTTTGGCAGAACTTTGCTAGGTACACTTTAGCCACAGGTGAGGTGTGTTCAGGACCGGATTGCGTGTCTCTTGGTGAAACCACGTTACACAAGAGGTGTGCCCAGTGACCAAGCTTTTAATCATGCTCAACCTGCTCTAACAAAAAAGAAATTTTAGGATTTCAGGTGAAATCCGCACAGGGTTTGGGCAGCCCCCCGGCCACAGGCGCTGGGTTTGCGGCACAGACGTCCTGGGGTGTTCGGCTGTGGCAACGGCACGGGCTTGAAGCCAGCCCAGGGTTCATTTTCAGCATTAATATCGTCGTTTCCTCCAAAGACGGAGCCAGCCAGGCCCACGAGCACCACCTTGGCTTACACGAGTGCTTCGCTGCTCAAGTGCCTCGAATTAGCAGGGGATCGTGATTTCCAGAAGCATCAGCTACCCACTTCTCACACACCGGTTGGTGCTTCTTCAAAAGAGAAGCTTCGAAAGGCTTCCGCAAACGCGGAAGGGTCGTAAGACACTGAACTTACACACAAAAACAGACAAAAAGAATAATCAAGTGTTTCTTCACTACTCTGCCAAAGCCTCGCGCCCAAGCCTTCAGTGTTGCCCCTCCAGAAGCTGGCGGGCAAGGGACTGAACTCAGAATTTGGCAGGGAGCGTTTCTCGTTCCCCTCCACCACCAGCGTTATTAACACCAGGACACTACGTGTTGCCTTGACTGGCAACTTCTTCTCTCATTTAAAACGTAAACTGATACAAGTAACATTCTACTACAAGCTTAGAAACCAAGCGCTGGGGTGACTCAACACCGAAGGCAAACGTTTTTAAAACCTGCGTGTTCCCCTGCAACCAAGTGCTGGACCAGTGCGAAGGAACAAAAACCCCGAAGTCCCGAAGCGACGTGCAGAGAGTCCTCAGCAGGGTGTTACACCCCATGGAAGCACTATCGTTTCTGAATTTTGCTGTGACAAATCACGCTTGAAACATTCAGCTCTAAAATGAAGCACTCTCAGACGTGAAACGCAACCACAGGCTTCCCGGGACTGCAGCTCTCTTCCTCGCGCACCCCAACACCAACCTCCTTCCCAGAGCCGAGGGAGTCGGAGGAATGGCTGCTGCAGAGCCCGGCAAGGCTGCGAGCACCCACCAATCGCCACGGCCTTTCCTCTGCCAACCCTGGACCCATGAGCCAACGTGTATTTTTGCTGGCAGGAACAGTTATGCCAAAAAAAAAATATATATATTAGCAGCTTTAGATCTATATTCAGGCACAATTCTGATCTATGATTTTGTTTCATCAAGCTAATTCCAATTTACACCGGTGTAGCCAAACACAATTTCTCTTCCAACCAGGCAGAGCACAAAACCCGCTTTGGGGCAGGTTTTAAGACCACTGTCCTGCACCCAGCCCCGGTACTCAGGTGCTCATCCTCTCCAGCAGAATGCCTCCCAGTCAGGGGAAGGAAAAAAAACACCCAGGGGAACCATCGATAACTCTGCAGTCGCAGCAAAGCCATTAACCTGTTTTTGTTCTGCACTCTCACCCCGAGGAAGCGATGGGCGAGTGCTTCACAGCCACTGTCGCCTGAAACCGTTTGAGAATCTGGAGTCCCACCAGAGCAGAAGATACTTTACAAGGGAATAATTGCATTGGCTAACAGAATTCTGTCTGCACTTTAAAAACTTCTAATAAAAATAGAATATATACTGTGTTTTTTATAAATAGTTTACACATTTAGCTTAGATGAGTTTCATTACCTCCCCCACAACACATTTTTAAACAATTTTTTTTTTCGTTGTGTGAACTAACATGATAATTACTAAGACTGAAAAAAATGTTTGTACCACATTATTCTTTGGACATTTTTGAACATGCATCCACAAAAGCAACTGCCATTTGTTTACTGAAAACATTTTTTTGTACAAACCCATTTTAGGAATTTGATCTGTTATTACACTGCTAACAAGCAAAAAAAATTTGCTTCCTTGAAATCCCCTTTTAAAAAATGAGGAACGATGAGGAGGATTTTCTGATTGTAAGTCTAAAAAAGTGTCAATATGACACCGCATTAAGAATAGAAAACAAAAATAAAGTATTTACAGCTTTACAAAGGAAAAAGAAAGAGGTCATCAAAATCATTTCCAGCATTTTCACAATTTTTTTTCTGGCAAGCTTTTGATCTGGTTTCTACAGAGTGGTTAAACGCAACAGAACAGGACCACTGGCAGCTAAAAATCAGCAGCATCGCTGGAACCTAAACCCAACACCTCCTAGGGAAACCGTCCAGGACCAACCTCGCAACTCCCAGGAGGCTGATCCACCAAGTCCTATACAGCCTAAATGAAAATAAAACCCCAAACCCAAGTATGAAAACACCTTTTCTTCTTTAAAAATGGATTAAATGTGGTTACAAGAAATAGACACCAACAACCACGGTAATTTACCGTCGTACACATCACCACCGTACACGTTATTCCTACACCCTCTACTACAGACCCACACCCCTTACACTTACCAACAAACACAACCCTAATAGAGATGCTCCTCGTTAATTATGGCTCTGAGATAAACCACAGCTTACAGCCAGCTTGTTTCGACAGCTGAATTCCCGCTTCCTCGCTTGGCTCTCACTGTCGAACCGAGGATACGCTTTCCTACCCTCGACATACCAGCTCCTAGTTTCAAGAACACTCAGCCTTTTCCCTACTGGGACACTGAGTTTTAAAAAGAAAAATAACAGCAGCTAAGCTGGCTGGCCATTCAAATTGTTCAGCTTCTCCAGTACCAAGGAGCATTTCATAACTGAGGAGAGCTGAACGACAGCCTCCGACGAGGCAGCTTGACCGTGCGAGTAGATTGCTTAACAACGCCTCCACCAAAGTCACTAAAGCATTACAGACATTCAGCTTTGGCAGATGGTTTCTCAGCCTCGTGAGAAACTACGTATTAGCAGCTGAAGTTCATACAGGCTTGAAAACCTTAAGAGTACTTTACTGAAAACATGCAGTCCCAGCCCCCTCAGAAAAATATCACATCTCTTGCCCCACCCCTACCCCCCCAACTTGCAGCCCTAGTGAACATGACACTTACCACTTTGGCCACCTAAGAAATAATAGGAATGAGCACTTTGGAAGAAGGTTTCTTTTCCAGAGAAAAGTTATCTACATTTATACGATGCACCGGGCTTTGAAAAAACCCCTAACCCACACCACGGGAGCCAAGCAGTTGCTAGCTACTCTACGAATAACTGCACTGAGTAATTCAATCAGCAAGGAAACCGAGGAATATCCTTGGATATTCTTGGACAGAAGCCATCGATTGCGGATCGTGGCCTCCACGCTGTGGAGTCAGACGGACCACGCCAGTGCTCTTCCCCACTCTAAATCCACCGGGAGCCCGTTTGGTTCACACGGCCCAAAAGCACCATCGTGCCCAAGCAGGAGACGGATCCCAACAGCAGTGAAACTCCAGGCAGCGACACAGGAAACAAACGAAGAGGAGGTTGCTGCACCCACAGTCACAGTGCGAGCAGAGACCCTCCAAGGCGCTGCCCCTCTGCAGAGCTGCAGGACGGAGCTGCATTTCTGCCCAGGAACACGCCGTTTGCTGAGACACTTGTGCTTTTTTCAAAAGAAAGCGACACCGATCTATACCAGCTGTATGCTTACAACGCAAGCCGGCTGATCTCAAATCAACACGCGAGAGGCTTGGAAACAACACTCAGGCAGCTAAAAGGATTGGCCAGCTTACCTTCACATAACACTGAGAGGGTGCTTAAATCGAGTATTTCCCTGTCCAGTCCTACCACTGCTCCTGCACAGCAGTTTTTTAACTTCCTGGCATGAAAACAAAATACATTTGGTATTTACTCCAAGTCTTGCAACTGCTAGTTACCTACACAGTTACCTCTAGGCAGTATTAACTACACTTTCAATCTCGGTCTAAAAAACAAACACAAAATTATTGGCTGAGGTTTATACCCTGTTTTTACCTGGCTGAGTTGCTACAATTTCCACTAATAACCACGAACAGCTTGATGACGCCAGAGTTTCCTCCAACACCACCAAGCGATCCACCCTTTGACGCTGCTTTTTCCTGTGTCAAAACACAGATAGGTTGACAAAGCCTAGGTCTTCTCACTTTCTCCCAGAGAAAGCACATGGCTGGTCTTCCCTAGTGCTAGGGCAGCAGTACTTTGGGATTCATTCTACTACTCCCTAAGCCGGATTACAGTATTTTCCGATGTTCAGCTTTGCTGAGGAACAGTGGCCTGGAACTCTCCCAATGTCATGTCTCCAGCCTACATCTACTCCACCGCATGTCAGTTTATCCTGATGCTTCAGCTATCCCACTCTAAACGTCATGAAAGCAGCATAAAATGGAGTTATCTCCCTGTCAGCAACGTAAAATCTGCAAACGCTATGTTTTTTTTTTAAAATTCCTGAAAAAAGAAAACACAAACCAAGAGGGGAAGGGAAGGGCTGACCCCCCTCTTCATCCCATCACTGGAAACCAAGGCATTGTCATACACATTCCTCCCCAGAAGAAGCTCTACAGATAGCTAACATGTGCAAATGTGGCTTTTAGCTTTCCTTTCCCCCAGAGATAACTGTAGCCCAGCAGGGACCAAACATTCCATATAAATAAGGCGAGCTTTTTTTTTTTGTTTTTGGTTTTGCATAGTAGTTTGTCAGTGATAGTCCCACCCCACGGCACCCTCCTCTGTCCACCCGCTTTACCACCGAGCTGAGGCCTGCTTCTTCAGATCCTGGAGTCTAGCAGAAAGCTTGTACAAATCTCAAAGGCTCCTTCACCCAAAGAGCTGGAATGAAGGAATTCCTCTTAATATTGTATAACTGTTTAATCCTAAAAGCTGTCTCTCAACCCGCTATTATTTTTAAATGTTTACAGTTCAATTTGGAGGCATTCTTTTTTGTGCCAGACATTGGTAATTGTACCATAATTGTCTTGGGTTCGCTTCTCATTTTGCCAGCATTCCTTTGCCAATCAGTGCAGCAGTTCAATAAAACCATACGCTTACTGAAATACCCAGAGCCTTTGCAGCACTATTGTCTGCAGCTACTGGATTTTTTTTTAATAATATTTTTTATAAAAACACCTGCTATTATTAATATTCCACTGGAGCTCAAAGTGGCTCAGCTTGGGGCAAAGGCACAATTAAAACACCATGTTTTCTTACAGGACTCTGCATTTATGATTCGTATAACAATAGAAATTTACAGCACCAATCCTTGGGTGGGGTGGGGATGCGTGTAAGAATGAGTCCTTAGAAACCCTGTGCAAGGGCTTACAAGTCTTTTCTTGTATTGTTTTTTATTCTTGTATCTTCCCTTTCACTGGAATGCTCCAACTACGTATCAGCTGACCATGGGCTCCACATCCGTGTCTCTGTCCAACTCATCCTGAATTTCATCTGTGTTTCCTGAGTCGCTGCTCGCTACAGAACTGGGAGATGGAGAATTTCTGTAGAAAAAGTCAGAGAAAAGTTTAGAGAAAAAAGTGAGTTTCAATGACAGAAGAAAAAAAAAAAAAAACTTCTGAAGAAAATGGTGACTTCCACTTCCCAGAACAGTTAAAAGAGTCCTTTATTAACACTAAACTTTGGGTTTACAGTAAAAGCAGTAAACTTCAGCATCTCAGGGGCTGCCGCCACCCCACCCCTGCCATCTCCTATACAAACAAATGCTGCCCTACGTTTATGGACAGGGAAATGGACACCAAGCCCAGTGAACATCCTACAGAGACTGCCATCACCCCTAACATGTACAGTCTTCAAAACTCAAAAAAATCTTGTCATCATCATCCTTTATGGCAGGACGTGTACTAGGGGCAAGCAAGAGATCAGAAAAATCCCTCATAGTATGGGGTTCTTCTGAGAAAATAAAAATGCAAGTTCTTCACACAAGTTCACAGTCAAGATTTAATTTGGCAGTTGGTTTGTTTATCTGAAGCGTTCTAGGTCTACGACACTAAGACTAAGCGTCCTTCCAAGTTAGAAACGAGGTAAAGCCTTTTATACAGTCTATTGCTGACATCCCTGCTCCTACCAGTAGGTGTTGAATCCTTAAAAGCGTTACTGTGTGTAGGCAACCTATACGCTGTCACAGGGTTCCTTTTAAGAATGATATTTGACCCTGAACAAAACAAGATTTCCTAAAGAAAGCTTTAGGACAAAATGATACTATTGCCTTTACACAACCTGGCAGCAAACAAGAGCAAAGTAAATTCTCGAAGGACCCCAGGCAGAATGGTAGTATCTTCTGACCTGTCAGCCGAGCCTTTGATAAGCCTCCGACAGGTTTCCATTTGTACATCCAGGCCCCTTTTCATACTACACATTTCCATATACTCATGAAGGTGGCGATTCATGTCACTCTTGGCTGTGGCCAACTCCAGCTGTGAGAAATAAGAGAAAATAATCAGCCTAAGGTGAGTTGCTAGCAGCTTCTCCCAGTTTCACTCAGATTTTACGTACTGGTGGGGATGCTAAAGCTGCCCAGAGCCAATCCAAAACACTCGCACAATACACGGTTAACCTCAGTGCTGTATACTGCCAACGTAATCATCAGCTTACAAAGTGTATTTTAATCAGAGCTCAACACTGTTTTTAAACAGCCCTCTAGTTTTTTTTTTTTCTGCTGCTTGGCATCTTGTTTGCAAACATGCAGTAATTAAGGAAAGCATATTCTAGGCAGGGCAAAGATTCTGAGAAGCTGCAGCTGTTGTGTCTGGCAACCTCTGTGGCCACGTCTCATCAAGCATTTCCCAGTGTGATGGTGGATATGCAAGACAAATAGGAGAAAAAGAATAATAGTGCATTTTAATTGTCTTTGTTCTGAAGGTTCTCTCTCCCTCAGCTACAGATTTATGCTTACTCAATAGTGCTGTATGGGGAAGAGTATTTAATAAAAATCCCAAGGGTCTGCCAAGGGAAAACACCTTTGCATTCTTGGATATATAGACATTCCACCTTCCCCTCTGTGGGTGTACACATCTGTAAGAGCCGACGGACCAGGACACTGGGCATGCTTTCATACCTTAGAAACCATTCACATTGTCATGAACAACTTCCTCACCTCTATCTGCCCTATTGTTTCTTGGTATTCCTTGTCTCTTGTTTTAAAGAAAGACTCTGTTTCATGGATCAAGTTTCCCAGGTTTTCTTCCTGCAGGGGAAAGGACACAAATAATTATCAAGAAACTAACATGGAATTCAGTAGCAGACTGAAGACTTTCTTATTTAACTTCCCTCAGAAATGCAGGTTTTTATGCTCTTTCATGCAAACTTTTGGGGGGTTTTGTTTTTGTTTGTTTTTTTATAAATCTTTACACAGACAAGTAATATTCTGCTTCTTAAACCCAGCACATCAGGAAACCCATGGTACCATGACCATATGGCTTTGTACACAAAAAGCTAAAGTCTCTGATCAAGGAACCTACAGACCAAGGCTCAGGCAATGAAGTACAGACACTCTACGCATGCCAGAGAACCAAAGCCATGGATTTTCCCAACCTTTCGCAGTCTGATCAGGCTTAGACTGTAATTGCTCTCCAGCCATGAAACAATTTTTCCTTGCATTGACCACACCACTACTTACAGCGTTGCACCAGAATTCTCGTTTTCCGATTACATATTATTACTCTCCAGCCCTTCCAGTCTCCACTACCTCACGTGTATGCTCTGCATGCATTGTTTCCCATTGAAATTCCTTACTGCTGGATAAAGCAAGCTCACTCCAGCACACTACCGATGAAAATATCACACGTAAGGACACACGCTGTCCCAAAGGAAACATCCTGCCAGACGACAGCTCCTGCTTCATCACTGCTTTGGATTGAGAGTACAGCCTGGGCTACAAAACATACAGCACTATCTCCTGCTGTCACACAGAGACTAAACCAATGCCACTGTTCTCTCTTTCACATTATTACCTACTTACCCTTTCCAGAAAAAAAAATCTCATCAATTTAATGTACCTGCGCTGATGAGCATGAATTACGTCTCCATCCTTCGGCCACATCTGTGGCAGCTCTATCAGGACCATACCCGGTATCAACGTCGGGCTATAACCAGCCTATGGTTACAAGACTCATTCCACTTATCCTTTTATACACAGAAGCGCTTTAAGGAGGAAGGTCATAAAAGCAGGTGGCTAGGGCACCGCGTAAGAACTTGAAAGGAATAAAGCCAGAGGAAGGAAGATTCCGGCATGTAAAGCACTATGTAAAAGACCAGGCACAGACGGAGCAGTCTTTATTCTCAATCTCCATCTACAAGACAAATCTACCCTTTCCTTGTCTAATTTTCATTTAGAAGGATTTAAGCTTCTTAAAACCTTTAGAGTTTTCGCATGGAAGGTCTGAGTTCGGCAATATTCCTCTGATAGCCGTGCTTATACATGCACACATGGGTATATGCAAATAAATCTGTCACTAATTCCAGCACATGGCTACACATTATCACTCTGCCACTCTCCCGGCTCAAAAGACATGTCGCTAAGTACGCTGCTTTCTGCAGTCCCAGCACTTCTCAGTAATCTCCGCAGTTTCAGAGTATGCCAGATGATACACGAATGGGAAGATGTAAATTAACGCACCCCTGGCAGTCAACACAAGACAATATTCAGGAGACTGCTGCCTCAGCATCTTTACACTACAGCGACGATGGAAGAAGGAAGGACTGTTTCTTACCTACTGCTGTTGTGCTACTCAGTAATGAAATAACAGCGTCATGTTTAAGACTACCCGCACAAAGCCAGACCTTGCCATTTCAATCTCTCTTCATGCTTGTTTAGAAGGGCTCGGGAGTCGCTGAATGAGGCAGCATGCAGCCATTGGCTCACTTTGTGTGGGATCTTAAGGATTAAAAACAAGCTGTTTATTATCCACCGGTGCCAGGAGATTCCTATTGACTGGGAAGATGGACGCACGAGATTCATGGGTTCAGAAGATCCCTGGGGCCTTCCGCAGTCCTGCAGCCACAGCTGCTTTGTTTGTGATGGGGTATTCATAGTTTAACATCTTCCACAGACCATACCGAGTTTATTTTTCTCCCCACTAGAATAACTGGGCAAAACCATCCCGCACACTACGTGTACTATTTTGACAATTAAAGTGTGAATGAACATGAATGATCATCTACAGAGAAAGTGAGATGCTGTGAGGGAGATGCAGCGATTTAGATGAACGACTGCTCAGGGTGACAGATTGCATGATGCTCCTGGAACAGCGAGACGCATTGGATCTTCTGACACTCGCTTGGTGCTTTTAAATACTCAGTTTGAAGGAGCAGAGGAAATGAAGTTTGGCAAATAAACTGATTGCACAGACCGAAAAGCAACCATAGAGAGAGAGCTCTAAGAGGATTTTAAAATCAAAGCAAGTTTGCGTAGTGAAATATCCAAAGGCTCAAACAGCTAGAAGAGCAGCTGAGGCATACAGCTTCTGCATCGAATAGTCTGAGAAAATAACGGAAATAAACTCACCTCTCCTTGGAGGTCAATTGAAGGATTGCAGTTTGTGAAGTCTTCCCAAAGAAGCAACGTTTCCTCATTCTCCTCCCACGTTAAACTATCACAGTCGTCATCAAAATCGAATGTCTCACGACTGTTAAGATAACAGGAAAAGCATTAGTGAAAACTACTCCAGCCCCACTCCCGCAGTCCTTCAATTAATCTTCTAGAAAAAAAAGAGGCTATGAGAACTGAATGAATGAGACAGTGCAGCAGCTGAAAATCCTCACAGATTTTACAAACAGGCTTCGCCACTGTCTGAGTCCCTCGCTCCCGGGCTCTTTGCCACCCCAAAGCAGAATAAGAGACCCTTGTTAGCATCGCTGGTTCAAGCGCACAGCCCTGGCTCTGTCCTCCAGATGGTGCTGCACATTAGTTTCCCCTGTTTGCAAAACCACAAAAATGTTTGAAACTATTTCTTTTGTACGTGGGAAAATGAGCCCAAACACAGTTTGAGGAATTTTACAAGAAACCGCCACTAGAAAACTCCCTGCTGATTTTCATGTTGAAGCTCAGCCAACATCTTCCCTGCAGCACTTAAAAACATTATATTCAAAGGTAACAACTACGAAAAAACTGAACCCCAAAACGATGTGCAGGTGAGCGTAACTACTTATCGTTGACTTGAACAACAGATAGCACCGCAGCCGCTTAAGACTGAGAACAAACAGTGGCAAGAGTAGCCTTTAACACTGTGATTTGGCCAAGCTGCTTTAGTACGGTCAGTTGTGCAATAAAGGAAAAGTTCCAGCAGGCACTCTAGTCCCTTTTGGTTTGAACAGCAGCAGGGCGAAACACTAGTAGCTGCTTCTTGTCCTTGTTAAGGAGGCCTGACAAAAACCTGAAATTGCTCCCAGCAGCAGGCTGCTAATTTCAGACTGATGCATTTTTGTGACTTTAGTTCACTTCCTTTTCAGCAGATAACATCGCAGCCCGGAAGCCGAGTCCAATACTGTCTCTATGAGGCTGAAGAGCTTGGCAAAAGACACAGACTATTTGTCTACACTCCGCATGACTTTAAAAAATAATTTTTAAAAAACCCAATAAACTTGGACATATGCAAGCGTGCCTTTTGCAACTGAACTTCAAACTAGTTCCTTTTTTCAAGAGCTGTCCTTGTCAGAGCCCACAAAGGCTCCCAGTCCTGACTGCTGCTTACTTCAGGCACGTACGCTGCTCAAAGCCGATGGCATTTTGACTTTTTACTACTAGACACCTAGAGATTAAATTCATTCCAGATAAAATGCAAGCTGCTCTTGGTTTCTGTTAGAGATAAGCTATTCTGCTATTTGTGAAATTTCACTGTCTAGTTCACAAAGCTTCTAAACCCCGACACCCTTAGAGACGTCCCACCTTCAGTAAGCCACAAACACTGTTCTAGATCAACCCAACATGCACGTAACGAGATTCCTGCAACACTGCATGCCAGGTAAGATGAGACCAGGAGATAAGAATCTCACTACCAGCACCAATAAAAACTGGGTATCACAGGACAGGTTTAAGAACAGAACTGAAAACTAAATGCATTACCAACCTAGTAGCTAAATTTTAGCCTCTTTCTTTTCTAAAAAATCCACACTATCTGCTGTCACACTGAATTCTAGCAGTGGAGAAGGCAAAAATCTGTATTTATTACACTGGCTATTAATGAGGGCCTAAAACCACTTAAAACAAGAGTCCTAACAAGAGGAGTTACCTACAACCTGTGCAAAAAACATGCCCTCCTATAAGTGAGATTCAGATAAAGAGACACACATCCTTGAAAACAGAACTTTTGGCAGCAGCTGGCAACAGAAGAGGAGCTAGTCCTCCTTAGGGGGTTTCTTGCATACTCCTACGTATTAAATGCTGTCCTACATTGTGTGGGAAAGCACTAGGCATTCTTCCCTCTGCAGTCACTGCAGAAGTTGGCAGAAGACACCCATATTCGATGCTAGGAAAGTCAGACCTACGGCGCTTGCTGGGGCTCCTCTCTGGCAAAATAAACCAGCAGAGACCCTCAGAAGTCTCACCAGTCTGTGGCCACCTCCGTTATGTCTAGACCAGGAGGAAGAGAACAGCAGGACACATCACCTGCCGGCTTCCCAAACTGCTTCGTGAAGCACCAAGGTGCAGAGAGTCTCCTCTCAGCTTCCACAGCTTCCTACCACTCCAATCAGGGGTAAAGCCTTAGGCAAAATAAATTGCAATTCTTCCCATTCGGGAAAGCAGAGCTTGCAGCCAGGCCTACAGCGCTGACATTCCTGGAACCTAGAAACTGTCGTCCGCTGCTACAACTGATCCTCTGGGCAGATCCAGCACTACCGTTCGCCTGTAGCTCAACCGAAAAACCACAGGAAATGCTACAGAAGTTTGTATCCGTTTTGAACTGAGTTTTGAGTCACTTTGCCAAATTCTGTCCAGCCTGAGCAGCAGCAAGGCTCTTTCCAAACCTCTAGAAATCTAATATTCAACAAAACATACACAACAGACTCCAGTTTTGTACTTTTTTTGCAAGTTTCTTCTTTTGCTACTGTTACAACAGCATAAGCACATCTAGCTTTACTGCTATATTTTTATATCTTCTATAGTCCTTCCTAAGGGAGGAACAGTTTCTGTTAATTGTATTTGAACTTCCAGAAAACCTTTGAGTATGTACCATCCTGGCAGCTCATGTTTAACTCCTGGTGAGCACCGGGTAGAAAAAAAATAATACTTCTGAAAGCATATAGAAGTAACTCAGTACTCGAGTTCTTGGATTAAGCATGCATTTTGGAGTAAGTTTTCCCCACGTTGTCCACAATACTCACAGCTGATTAAACATACGCTTCATTTCATCCGTGATGTTCAAAGAACAGCTGACCTCATCGTCAGAGAACCTGCCGTTGTCCCCGTCCTGTTCAGAGAGGTCATCGTCAGATGTGAGCTTGCGTTCTTTCTTCTTGGAAGCCACCTTAATTGGAGAGAAGAGCAGTAACTAAAAGGTTCGACTGAGGTGCTGTGCCATGAGGGGCAGAAATAAAGAAGGAGAGCCATTAGGTTTGAGCAAATACAGCTGTTCATCAGTCCCCAGGCAATTCAGGGACTGCTCGTATTCAAGACAGAAATTGCATCTGTTAATGAGTGGTGCACACAGAGCACAAGGAAGCAGTTCAAAACGGCGAAGAGCAAAGCAAGCTGCAGGCTGCCAGCGCTCTACAGATGTTCATCTCTGCACTGACACCAGTCCATGATCTACCAGAGAACATGCAGAGGTTAGAATGATACGGGGTAAAAGCACAAGCTGGCAGGAGTGCCCAGGCAGCAGGCTTGAGAGCAATGACAGAACTCTCCCTCTCCTGCCACCACCACAGGCTGTTGCCCCCAGCATTGAATCACCACGAAAGAGCAGACGGGAAGCCTTTCTAGGCAGGCTTTACTCCCACCCCATCAGCAGAGGCAGACCTCTAGTCTTCAGGTTGACGGAAGAAGAGTTAACAGAACCATGAAAAAGCCCGGACAGCCTCAAAGAAATGAAGTTCACAGATGTGCAGAGAACTCAAGGGATACCCCTGTGAAGGGCGCAGGGGATCACTTCTTCATCTGAGGACTGTGAACATCAAATATATTCACAGGTGGTGCCACAGAGTCACAAACACACAGCCTGCTCCCAGCCTACTGTAGTTTTTTCTCTACTTGGCACATCAGCTGCCCCTTTTCTCCATGCTGATCATTTTAACCACTGCATGCTTGACCAAAAGTGCACTTTGTAGTTATCTTTGAGCAGAAAGACATAACAATTCTACTCAAAGATAAGGGTGGAACCACTAGCACAACGGGGTGGCTCAACGTGGTAGGAAAATAATCTCCAACACGGAGAATTGACTCTTTTGGGATACATATGAAAAAACCCTGTCAAACATTCAGGCAACTTCACTCTAGCCAGAAAGCACGACCAGCTGAGCCCACAAGGATCTTTTACAGTGGTTTTGTACAGCATTTAGCACACTATATGGCATCACTACACAGAGAAAAGCATCAGGCTTATTGAAAGACTGAACAAGACACATTTAGATCAAAGCAGAAGGAAGCTGGGTTAATCACAATCGGAACTGCAGTTATGACAGGAGACCCACTGCATTGGGAGCTACAGGTTTGCTCCACACAGAGCTGTAACTGCTTGCTGTTGGAGCAAAATTAAATGACTTTCCTACTAGCACCAAGGAGCCACAACAGCTCAAGGAAAGCAACTGGGGTTTCTAGTCTCACAAAGCAGTCATAGCTCACCACTACAGAAGCGTTATTTCTGGCCATGGAGCTTGAGCCAGAAATAAGAACATCCAGATGACAGTTCTACAAGCTTAAAACCTCTCACTTGTGAAGGAACTAATGTGAGGAAGCCATTTATACAAACCTAGGCCCTGTAATACTTTTTTCCCCTGCACTTGTTGCAGACTAGCATCAGACTAACAGCATGTCTTAAAGGCCACCCTGAGACTTCTTTTTTATTAAACTCTCTAAATTTTGTGCTCTTACTACTACAGCAGCTTCTGCAGAGGAGAGCTGCACTTCAAGACCAAGAAAGAAGAAAATATGTCTACATAGAGAAATTTCAAGAAAAGGCAAATGACCTGGACCGCACTCCTCAACACTGCTCCCTCTTGTCCCCTCACTTCTTATCCTACCCTACAGAAAATTCATGGCCTAATCACCTGGAATATCTTGGAAACGTCTTCAGAGTTGCGCTGCTGCGCTACATCGCACAGCTTGGCTGTGATATCGATTCGCCGACAGATGTCCATGTCCACCTTCATGGCCTTTTCTTGAATCTTTGTGTCCAGGTCTGTCATGGGCTGCAGGAAGGACAGTAGTGATTATCTTCTATTATTATACAGTTCAGGAAAGAAGAGATACCCCACAGTATCTCTCTAACCCCAGGGCATACTGTTCTTAAACAATATTACATCTTCTCCGGGAAAGGCAGTACACAGATAATCTAAATAGGCTAGAGAGCTAACAATTAACATTCACATCTGATTCTAATAAAAGTTCAACTCTGAGTGATTTGCCACCAAAAAAACCTATACCCAGCCCAAAACAACTGCTAGATGTGGCAACAGTAAATTTTTATGGGTCAATAAAGCTTTAAAAATGGAGGAGAAAAACCCTGTTGAGCATGTGCAGAATAGAATGAAATCTAAAACCTGGTGAATACGCAACACTTGCCCCCTCTTTCAGACAGAAAAACTGTGCCTGCAAGAAGTTGCTTTTAAGACAGAACCGAGGCTACTCAGCAACTTCATACATACTACGAAAACAAAATCAAGACTGGATCTGAAGAGATCCATGAAAGCTTGTAACACAAAATAATCCTCATTGGCATTAACCTGGCTTCCAGCCTAGCAAAAACTCCACATGAAAAGTGTTTTGTTGTGCTTCACCCTGGGCAGTAATTATAAACACAACTTATCAGAGATACTCCCACTCCGACAGTACTGCTGGCTCCTTATGAAGAAACGTTGTTCCAGGAAAAGCATATTTTCCAGCCTAGACAAGACCTACTCTGTTGGAAAGTACCACTTCAATGGCTAGGCAACGCTTCCACATTGACCAGAATAGCAGAAAAACTCTTTGCAGAGCTTTCCTAAAATACCAAATCCCCTTTCCAGGAAGAAAGCCTTGGGCTGTTTTTTGGTTGGGGTTTTTTTGGATTTTGTGGGGGTTTTTTTGCCTTTTTTTTTTTGTCTCTCCCCTTCTTTTCCAGTCCCATCAACCACCTTTGGACAATTTTTGTCTTCCAAACACACTGAGAAAAAGAAATCTCTAAACATTGACACACTCTGAACACAATCTTGTCAACTGAACAGGTACCAGTGATTCTTATCCACAGGAAAGCAAGAGTCACATGCCAACATTTTGCATTTCTTTGCCCTAAATATTTACACAGTGGGATTCAAAACAAGCATTCTCACTGCTTTCCTGAGGCTCCCTTCTACCTTACGGAGTTTGCAAAGCCCAAAGCAAACTTTCTCTCCGGTTGAGGAGGAAGATTGCATTCACCGCTGCCCTTTTTGCGCACACTGAGCAACATCTCTTCCCCAGCGAAAAAGTCATCACAGTGATGGAGCCCTAACAAGTTTCTCCCTTTCACACTGCCTCTAACCAAGCATGCCTGTTCTCAATTAAACACCAAAAGAAGAGACGGCTAATTGCCGAATTTCGCATGAACTGATCTTGTGGCCCCGAGAGAATCTATTTGACACCAGGGAGCAGGTTCTGCAAGCTTATGTAAAGACAGAAGGAAGCAGTTCTATGCAAAATTACAGAACAAATAAGCATAATAGGACATATTCATTAGACAACTGGCATCAGCACTACTTCAGTCTTACAGAGAAAAGCACCTTACTTAACGTTCACTGGGCTTATCTTTATAGATATCTGCATGAGTACTTGCTCATGGTAAGAAAATTATCCAGTCTTAGCCTAAAAGATCCCTCAGCTTTGAGAGACAGTCAGTATCTACTCAGACATGAGAAAACAAGTTGTTTTTTAAAAAAAATCAGGTCGAAACAGCACTGGAAACAAAGCCAGATACCTGAACCAGTGATACTTGGTTAATCTCTTCAGAGCGTTCATAAAGGGAGCTGGGAAACACATTAGCATGTCCCTTCTGAACATGACGTTCTTGCGTGACTCGGAGCAGAATGCCCCTGGTCAGCAGAACCTGGTGCTGCAGGGGGATGAACCCTTCACCCTAACCTGCGAGTTCTCCAACCTTTTTTTTTTTTACCCCCACGGCTGCAGATCTGAATGCCGGCACTGCCAGCTGTGGAGAACCGGGAAGGGAGGGAAGAGTCCGGGTTATGGGCTAAGCAGCAAGTTAATGCATCTCTACACAGACCAGACAGGCAGCAGGGGGAAGGGTGATCTGTCTGATGCATTAGATCATAACGGCAGCCATAATGCTAACTACGAAGCAGCACTCACTAAGACCATAACCTTTTTATGAATGAAGCCATTTGCATGACACACACATTTCACAAGGGCAGTGGGAGTTGGCCACTCTGCTCTCCAGCGTACTTACATCACTCATCAGACCCTTAAAGACCACAAGTTCTGCTTTCAGCCGCTCGATCTTTTCATTTAACTCCTCCTGGAGGGCTTCCGCTTCCTGCGCCTCCTGCAAGAGAAAGCACACAAAGAACTAAGAGGCAATAGGCCAACATATGCTTCCGCACTTAACCTGAGCAGGGCTGATAAGGCTCATTTCACTTTGTCAGAAACTTCAGCACCTTCCTGCTTCAGCTTCCAAACACTAATCCTCTGCTCTAGCGTACAGCAACGCAGTCAGCTGCTCTAGCTAGAAGAGAGTTTTTTAATTAAACAAATTCAATAAATTACTAGCATAATAAAAGGTGCAGGGGAAACCTACACCTTTCAGTACATATTCAAAACTTACCTCTCGCAGGGTTTCTACCATAGATTCCAGACTCATTCTTCTCGTCAGTTCCTCTTCCCATCTGAAAGACAAGATTTGCAGGCAAAGTGTTAACTAATGGAGAAAAGTAACTTTTTTTTCCCCACAAAAAATCACAAGTCTTCTGATAGATGTAGGATGATTGCAATGTAAAGCAGATGGTCCCCCTCACTTGTACACCCTCAAACCAGTAACTTAAGTCTGTAAAAGAATAAAAGCTAAATCCGCTCTCATTGGGATCAGTACTCTTCCTGCTCTCCTATGCAATATTTGGTTGCAAATAAGGCGGGAAATTTTCAGTGCAAAAAGCATCAGTTGAAGGTAAGTTATGCAAATCAGCAGCCTTGCTATTTATCTGTTCAGTCCAATCAATTCATTCGTTTATGTGTCTTCTACATCAAAATCCTCCATAATCTACCCCTCTCAGTCATTTCCCAGCACTACCATTGCAAGCAGAGTACTTGGACAAGCACCCCTGAACACAGGGTCTATACACTCACTGCTGCTGCTGCACGGAAAGGGTGGAAGAAAAGGAATTAGTTACAAACGGTAGAATTAAACCTCCTACTGCAAGCATCATTATGTTTGAATTCATTATTGGGTTAAGAGTAAAAATATCCAGCAGTTCCTCTTTTTAAGCACCGAAACCCTTTAAAGAGCAAGCCCCAGTACTTGGCAATACCAACTCCAAAGCCAAGATGCTTGAAAACGTGACGATACACATTCACACACACGGATCTGGTCTGAGCTTGGGAAGGTGCAGGAGAAAGCAAACCATGTGCCACTCTCTTTGAGCAGGCAGTGGTGCCCCATGAGACTTGCCCAGTCTGTTCCAACAACAGGAATTACACCCCTGGAAACGCACGTGATTAAACCCCTCCTGTGAACGTAACCTCTGAGGACCATCACGATAATTTCTGTTGCCACTTCAACGCTTTTTATAGTTCATCTGAAAAAGGCAAATCAGGGGCCCAGAAAGCTATTGCATCGAAGCAGTCTTGAAAATGCAAGGTTCAATCTGCCACAACGCACCGTTTCACCCTATTTTCAAATCCACAAAGCAACTGGGTGATGGTTAGATTGCAGGATATTCCCACTGCGGCTGCTGATTCGCTGCATACAGAATCACTGTGCTACTCCACACACCTCTGCATTCAAAGTGCAAATTTAATCCCATCTGAAATGGCAGCCAGGGCGGACCGCGTCAGCAGGAGAGGACGCAGGCAGGCGTGGTGGCATTGCAGTTTGCCGTCTTCAGGTGCGATCAGAGACACCTGAATGTGTTACATCTTCATGCAGCGGCAGCAGCTCCGACTAGTGCGGTGCCAAGACGACATGCTGGCTGCGTCCGCTCTTTCCTGCTATTGCGGTGCAGGAATATCCGACATAACAGCGTGTGAATTCTCCATTCTACAGCTGAAGTTTGATTTATGCAGGAAGACTTGTTGTGCATCTTTTTACCAGCAATGATTTACTGCCAAGCAGAGTAAAATATTTAGGCTGAAATTTGCATTTGTCATCAAATGTTTTAGCTCACATTTCCATATCCTGTTTTTTTTTGCTACTAATTACATGTACATTTCTATAAAAATAGTAACTTTGTTTTTCTGATTTTTAATACTAAAGTCAAGAAGGTGAAATTCATTAAAGCAGTCAATTACATTTGCAATCTGTAAGATGGTCTCCTTCTGCTACAGAAGGAGCCTTGCATGGCTTTAATCATTCCTCCCGGTCTTTCTGCCAGCAGGCTGTCATTTATGGATGGAAGTCAAGCAGACACTGCAAAAATTGATACGCTGCTTCCCAAGGTTTTAACTGTTGAAGTGAGGAATACTGGCTGCAGTCAGGTTATCCTGCTGTATTATTTGCATCTCCACAGTGCACTGGGCATTCTGCAAAAAAAGGGATGTATTTTTGGAAAACGTATCTCCATATTTTTACTGACTACGCCAAAAGCTAGCAAAAAGGATTAGCATTCCTCCCCTGCAGTTCAGCCATTCCGGGTGGCTGCCAACATTACGCATCTCAGTGTGCTCAGACTAACCTTCCTCATCCCGCAGAAATTCCAGTAGTTCCATTTCTTTTCTTTGTGCCAGTTCAAGTGCATTTTGCTGAACAGTGATTTACAGCCCTAATTCCCTCCTGTCCAACTCCAGGCAGCGTCTTCACGAGAAGCGGAAGAGGATGCCTCCTTTTACACAGATACACACCCTCCCCACAGTGTTTCTCTTCATGATAGGAACAATAAAACAATCTGGTAATTTTTAGCCAAAAAGTTCCTGCCTAGCAGAAGGAAATTTACACTGGACTGATAATAAGGGTCCTGCTAACCACTAATATCACTTTCTTAACCTCAGAGCACATTTCTCCCACCCGCTACCAAGCTGATTAACCTCATTTAACAGCTCAAAATGCCAATCTTACTTTCTCCTCACACTTAAACCTTGTGCTGTTTGTACCAAAGAGAGGAAAGAGACGGATGGGAAGGTAGAGGATGACAATGGAACAGAGGATTAATCCTCCACTTAGACTTCCAAGGAAGTGAGACAATAGAAGGATTGCTCATTCATATGATCATCCTGTATTTGCTGTAACACACAAGACTTTAAAAGGGACCTTGGCAGCTGCTCTACTACACACTCCACCAAATGCAGCAGCATGGAGTCAGCAGGCCGCTGAGAAGATGCTAACTACGGCTCTGATGTCTTTAATACTCAACATACTCTAAATTATTCTCCCAGTAATCAATAACTTTCTCTTCAGTTACCGTCTAAAAGCAGCAGACTTAGTCCCTGCAAGTCTCAGTCCCAGCAGGCTGCAGATGCCCTCTGCTCCTTAGCAAACAGAGCCAGCGACGCCACTTGCACGTGCAGCCTGAAACATGGAGGGACCAGAGCCTGGGGCTCCCTTCATCTCAGGGGAAAGGGAAACACCACCCGATCTACCACCTTGCAGCAGAAGCGGGGCGGACCTGGAACTCCTTTGCTGGATAACCACAGGAGAAGCAGCGGCAGGCATGACCAGGACCGTACCACCCAAGGCAAACAGCTACACACCTAGAGGCTAAAAACCCACCAGTCTTCACACCCCTGCTGCAGGATGAACTAGCTGGCTGCTCCTGCTGCTCTCAAATACACTTACTTCTTGGCTCAGATGCAGTAGCTGATACGATATCCAGCTGTATCCAAAAATCCTTTTACTGACCCAGAAAGGCAAACATTGCCATCTAAATCTACCAGACTTCAGGGTTTCTTATTATATTGTCAGTTATTTCTTTAAAAAAAATCATAAATATGAATTTCGTATCCAACCAAGCTTTCTTCCTTTTCTCCCCACCTACCACGGATGTTTTAGATCCGACTGCCACCTACCCACCCCCCAAATAAAGGGCTAGTCTGAATTTTGGAAGCTGTGGATCTCTTCCCTTTCACCAGATGTGACGCATTACATTCCAGCTGCATTCAGTCACTGCAGCTTCAGGCCCCAAACTACTTTTGCAGTCATGTCTTACATAGCTTAGAGGAGAACAAAGGCTGCTGGCTTTCTTTAACGGGAATAGCTACATTGCAAGGATATTAGACAAACAAAACACATGAACAGTCAGCCAGGATTAACATTGCTTAAAGCGGTGTTCTTGTAAAGCTGAGTCACACCGCAAACTTGCCTGTTTCCTTTGAAATTGGAAGAGTAGCTACCAGTTCACCGATACTAATGTCTCCCACACTGAAGCAAGCCGGTGGACACATCCCAAGAACTGGATAATGTCCCTTCACAGCTTCTCTAAGTTTTCAAGGCTCAGTGTTAATGAGATTAAACTGAGCAGTCTATGCTGACACAAGCAGCTTCAAAACACTGTCCTACTCCCTGAATACCTATGTCAACCAACGGGAACATCTGCCTTTCTTCTCTCTCAGTATCAAGTCAAGCTCAGGAATACTAACCAGTGAAGGAACTGCCCACTGGAGCAGATTCACAAAACCACTTTAGAATGGAAAGTTAGCTTCAGAGAAGTTTGCCTTTCCAAAAATCGTTCAGGAATTTCCTTTTTAAAACCCAGGATTTTTAGATACAAGTATGGTATTATTTAGACAACGTGTGTACAGAATATGCCAGATATACCTACTGCTTTAAATATGTTTTTGCTCAAGGCAGCAGGGCACAAGTAGACCACCTGATAGTTAATGATGTCTAATGGTATCAATTGCACTATTTCTTTCATTAAAAATATCCCTCCCTCAAGGAAGCAAGTATTTCTCCAGTAACATTTAACAACAATACATTTTTTCCATTAAAAAAAACTCCTTAGGAAGACAAGACCCTTCTTCCTGGTAGTTTTATACCCAGTCACGCAGAGAAGAAACCCACCAAACAGAAAGAGGGCAACAGAAAACATTTACAGCAGTCTAAGTTTTTCCCCTGCCATTCTCTCAGGTTCCGACTCCAAAGCCTTTCACCCCGTTATTGCTGGAGTGCCTTCCCATCAGCCTGTGGGGACGAAAGCAGTAACAGAAAGGAAAACCTAATAGCTCTTGAGTGCTTAAGTCCACAACGGGAAACAAAAGTGTTAGTTTGAACAATGACTATGAAATGCTCGTGAAAATATTCAGAGCTAACGATTCCTGAAAACATAAACATACTGAAGGGATGAACTGTCGGCGCTACTTCAGGGAATTTTTTCTTGCACACTAAGCCCTTTTCAGCACGAGATGCACCCAGCCCTGCTCGTCTGCTGGATACAAAGCATCGAAGGCGCACTCTCTGACGTACCACACCTGCAAGAAGACAGAACCCCCATGCTACTGCAGGACCGAGGCATTACACCTCCGGCGCTGCCCGGGAGGGTTTGCACTCGGCCGTCACAGGTTAGAGACACGTCTGTGCTCCCATTCCTCGGCGGCACTGCTTGTTCTTTGGCGTGTTGGAATCTTCTCCACGCCCATACGTTGTTTACAGGAACGCCAAATGGCAAGGCGTATCGCACTGCTCACTGGCGCTGGCACGGGATTTAACACTTCGCATGCACAAGCCTAACCCAT